AAATGATTTTCATATGTTTTGAGAAAAATGGCTTTTGTTTTACCCAAGCACAAAAATCACGTCTGCTGCCACTAAATGTAAATTTGAAGGCTGCAATGACGGCTGTGAGTGATGAGGGCGGTTAAGGAGCAAGTAAAATTATTCATTAATTCTTTTGCAGCTTTTGGTACTGCAAGAGCCCAGAGATATGTCAAACTTCCTAAAACTTTTTTGACAAAAACAAGAAGGCATTATTCCATCACATGTCCAGTACAGACACACTGCCATTCAGTGATCACAGAAATGGCACAAAAAATGGCAGCTGTCGCTAGCTTACCAGATCTGTGTCCCCAGTGACGTCAATGGGCCATCAACTTTCTAGTGAATTCTGTGGCACTTTACAAAGAATCTTTTTTTGTCTATCCAATCTATGTTATTTATATCAAATAATGTGGATTATACACACTCTGTACAGCTTCCAGTGTGTTAAACATGAGTTTTATCTCGTGTTCCCCTATTCTAGTTTCAAATATCAAAAACATACGTTATTAGTGACCCGTTTATTGGGAAACCGCCCTGGGTTTCAGCCTAGATCCCTCTGTCTCTGACCAAAATGTATTCACATTTTTCTGTAATGACACTTTAGTAATTAACGCACTCTGTGCAGATTTAAAGCGGCGCTGTCTTGTTTATTTTTCTCTGGGTTTTCCTTTCCTTATACCCCTGGGTCTAAACGATTATACTCCCCTTTGCCACTATTTATATTTATAATCTTGCCGGTTCTCAATACCTGGGAGCCGCCGTTTTGTTCCCCTCGGTCCATGATGTCTGCTGTTTATCTGAGAGATTCATTTTAATGATGGATTGTGGGTAGAGTGGAACTTTGATTAAAGGAGAAATGTCGCCTCAAAACTATATTTTAATTGAATAATCTTTACGTAAAAACCAAGAAATATTAATTCCTACGTTTAGTATATAAATAGACCTTTCTGCCATATACATGCACCTGAGGTCAGACCGTTAGTCTCTATGGTCTTCCCTGTTTCTGTGATGGGAGTGAAGCCGGGAAGACCATGGAGACTGACTGTCAGTATTTAAACACTGTCTGACCCAAGGTGCGTGTATATGGCTGAAGGATCCCGGACATCCCAGCATGCAGAACTTCATTTTCGGGAGGTCGCTGGCACATACACAGACAGATACTCAAACTGGCACATACACACACTGGCACATACACACACAGATATTCACACTGGCACATACACACATAGATACTAACACTGGCACATACACACACAGATACTCACACTGGCCCATACACACACAGATACTCACACTAGCACATACTCACACAGATACTCACACTGACACAAACACACACAGGTGCTCACACTGGCACATACACACACAGATATTCACACTGGCACATACACACATAGATACTAACACTGGCACATACACACACAGATACTCACACTGGCCCATACACACACAGATACTCACACTAGCACATACTCACACAGATACTCACACTGACACAAACACACATAGATACTCACACTGGCACATACACACACAGATACTCACACTAGCACATACTCACACAGATACTCACACTGACACAAACACACATAGATACTCACACTGGCACATACACACACAGATACTCACAATGGCACATACACACAGATACTCACACTGGCACATACACACAGATACTCACAATGGCACATACACACACAGGTGCTCACACTGACACATACACACATAGATACTCACACTGGCACATCCACACACACAGATACTCACACTGGCACATACACACAAAGATACTCACAATGGCACATACACACATAGATACTCACACTGACACATACACACAGATACTCACACTGACACATACACACACAGATACTCACACTGACACATACACACACAGATACTCACAATGGCACATACACACACAGATACTCACAATGGCACATACACACACATATACTCACACTGACACATACACACACAGATACTCACACTGACACATACACACATAGATACACTGACACAAACACACACAGATACTCACAATGGCACATACACACACAGATACTCACACTGGCACATACACACACAGATACTCACAATGGCACATACACACACAGATACTCACACTGGCACATACACACACAGATACTCACACTGACACATACACACACAAATACTCACACTGACACATACACACATAGATACACTGACACAAACACACACAGATACTCACAATGGCACATACACACACAGATACTCACACTGGCACATACACACACAGATACTCACAATGGCACATACACACACAGATACTCACAATGGCACATACACACACAGATATTTACACTGGCACATACACACATAGATACTAACACTGGCACATACACACACAGATACTCAC